GGCCGGATGATTGAACTCGGCTTCTGTTCATTACACCGGCAACGAAAGACGATCATCCGAGCTGAGCAAATGCTCGAATAACTGGAAAGAGAATTCTGATGGTCTCTTCTACGTCAATAATTTTGTCTATGCTGCCCGCGAAGGCGGAGAAAACGGTTGCCGAAACGAACAGACCGGATTCAAAGCCAGTGCCTGCATCGGAGGCCATAGCAAGAATATCAGAGTGCTTAAGGAACAAGTTTTGAAAGGTCTACCAGCGACGGCTTATTTGCTGTTGATTGCACGTGCCAGAGACACGGCAAACATCATTCCACTGCATTATTATTATTTCATTTAATGAATCCTTTACATAAAACCACAGTCCGCAGTGTCAGTGGCCGCCTATCAGCAACATAGCGCCCAAATACGGTTCACTGCAGCCTACTGTAAAAAAAGTAATAATGAGATGCATTAGAATGAGAACTGCAGCGTTGCCAATCATAAACGGTAACGTTCCGGATTAAATCATATAGCATTAGACCATTCATCTGAAAGGCCTGATGGCAAATCGTATTCGCTGCCGACTAAACACACCTGTGTTCTGATACGATGACAAGATCTGTGATGTATTAGCAAAATTTTCAGAAATTTCTTCGCGTTTCTGGTTCATAATTATTAACCTGACAATTATGAAAATCACAGGGTGCGTTTTATTTAGTCATTAGGTCGTTATATTGAACTGCTTGCACGAACACACGTCTCTAGTTTGTGATATCTGCTGTATTCACAGCTTTTGAACACCTTTTCGACAAAGCTCTGACCGCACATACTGAATCGTAAAAAATATTTCCCTCCTAAGGTAGGCAAGTCTTTACCTTATACCTCCATGTTGCATGTTGGCGTCCTTGTCCGTCTTTGTTTCGGCTCCCACACGAGAAGCTCATAGGCTGGAGTAAATAGTTTATGCTGTGCTAATTTGGCTAACTGCAACGGCATCGTCCTTATCTTAATCTTTACATCCATTAAGGCGATTTGTGCTCCGAAGAGTACAGAGTCGTTTTTTACACGGTCCTGGCATTTAACCCTCATCTTGCATCGAATCCAATCTGTCGTACACGGTTCAGCCGTCGTTCTTGGTCCTCCCTAAGAAAACTGTCTAATGACGAACAAAAACACTAGGCTGGCAAAGGTTTGGTACAGGAAAAGTTTTGTTCAAGGAATGAATCCTTTTTCAGTTAAAATATTTGACAGGTTACCAAAAAACGTGAGGCTTGAGTGATTCTTCAGTTTAACTCTGATTGGACGATAGTATTGTTGGACATGACAGAGGTAAGGTACTTTAATTGACAACTTCCTGAGGTGCTTCGTATTTTTGTTCAACTTGCAGATCATCTGTGTCGGACCGTGCTAAAGCAGCTGCCAGCGTTTGCAGCTGCGATGCATGGCGCAGCTCGTCGGATAGCGGAACCCGCTCTCTGAACCAAGGCAATATCATCTGCGTACTTGAGGTCAGTGTCCCTAGAAGCATGTCTTGAACTTCGCCTTCCCATTAAAATCAGACCTTTGTCTTTGCTGGGATCAGCGCTGTTTCCGAGAAAGAAGGGTAGAACGATGGCGAATAAAAAACATGAAAGCACAACTCCCTGGCGAACTCCACAGCTAATAGAGAACGACTGAAATCGCTCTTCGACTGTGACAACAGACATTCTTCTCAAAACGCTAATCTCCTTCCACTGTGCTACTCGATGCTGTCTACTCGCTTTCTGATTGAGTTTGCCGCATTTGACGGAAAAGACTTCTTTGGCGAAGATAGTCAAGCAGAATAACGGAAGTCCATCGAACAGCTAGACATTATTAACGATGATTGATCGGAATGTGTTGGAAGAGCGACGTGACGTTCAACGCTGGCTTTCCGTGACATGAAAGCAGGATATTTTGACAATATTAGAAAAATCCTTGACGGGATAACACCGCATTACAAATTCATTATATAACTAATCTCCGATGTTTCCGGTCGTGCTCGATCCGCCGTCTAAAACGGACATGAAATAAGGAAATCACATTCCATATGAAACAAGAAATATTACAGAATACACTGGTACAGTCAGTCAGTAATTTCACAAAGGATATCTTTGTCCAGATTGAAATACCAGATTCGATTGAATTGTTGCATTAAGGCGAACCAGTGCATGAATATAGTCGTTGATGGAACTAAGTCTGCGTTGAAACGAAACTATGAAAAACCTTTAGTGCTGAGGCTGAAACCTCAATTGCGAAGTTGCTACCTGACTGTCCCAGTTTCTACTATAAAACTCTCGGTTTTGTTAATAATCGAGCATGATTCCAAAATGTTGGAGAACAGGTATACGATAAGTGCGATATAATACGATGCCAACCAATAATTGACCTATTGAATTTTGAACCGAATTTCCTCCTTAAGCACTCAACTTCCGCCTTAATGATTTTGACAAAATCAGCAAAAACATTTGCCAGTTTTTATAAAAAAAATTCCAATTTTCTCCTCTTGGAGCAAGATTAAAGAAACACAAACGGATATGACGGAAGATGACAACCAAATGCCTGAAAATGAACACATTGATCGTCATTTAAAAAATCCGGCCGGAAATTGGTCATCATCCTCTGCCCTTTGGTCACTGAAAGACAATGGTGCATTAATTGGATTCAGAACCTGTAAATTCACTTACATGTGACTGTCACCTCATAAGGTGTTGAGGAAGACGATTATGGCGGCGACTGTGAGAGGATGATCAAGACTGAATGCGAGTAATATTTTATTCCAAGGACAAGAGGGAAACTTCTCTTACTTGTTGCCGTCAACGGAACGTCCTAAATCTGTGACTTTAGAATCGCATAGACTGATCAAAGAAGCCATGGCAGCGTTCTCCAATGTTTTGACGCAGCTCTTTGAGGTATTTTTTACTCGCATCCCTGCTAGGCAAAATATTTTTATAAAAAATGTTTTCAGTTATGTGTTTGCTGCGATGATTGAGAACGCATTGGTTTTCAAAAGACAACCGCTTATGAACCGAGTCGGCTGAAGATAATCACAAAGTATAACGGCCATCGGAGGGCGTTCATTTTAAACGGTTTTTGACCTTTAAAATAACTGCGCTCTTTCGCTGGCGGTTCGGAGAGGCGTCGAGAAATGTGAGTAAATTAAGACTCTGAGGCTTCAAAACTGAGGCAGATGAGAGCACTTTCCAGTAAACGAAACCTGAAACCAAAATTTAATAGAAAACTAGCTGTCCACGTGCGGTTATATCAGATTGGTTAATTAATTTCAAATCTTTTCAAATTTCTGGTCTGGCACTGCAAAGTGAGTTCCGCAGTCAAGTTTTGCAAACCTCGACAAAGATCTACATGCATGGATAATGATGAGATCAAGTGAAGCAAGATAATACGTTGAGTTTTATAACAGCTAAAGGTAGCAAGCGAGGGAAGAGGTAGACAGGTTGACCAAGAAGGCAGAGAGCAGTATTTAGTACCCGTCTCCCTAAAGCATTATATTTGCCATTTAACCAGAAGCCTTTCCCGTTAGTGCATCTTTACGGTGATATTCACTTTCGCAACAATAACAAAACACAATATTCCAGAGTACAGTTCCTCTCTAAAGGCAGATGACTCCTCATTGCTAACCAGTGTTTTACGTTTACCTTCCTACCACCGTCTGCCGTTTCGGAAAAACTCACATGAGGTTCTCGTGGGCCGTAATTGAGGGTTCACGCTTGACTATTTTGCATAACAGAACTGACCGTTT